ACTTGTACTACAGAAGTGTACCCTAATCCTAGCCCTAGCCCTAACCCTAACCCTAACCCTAACCCTAATCCTAACCCTAACCCTAACCCTAACCCTAACCCTAACCCTAACCCTAAACATACCTCATATAAAAATATAAACATAATACTAAACAACCTAAAACTACCTCGGGTACATATCTGTAGTACCTGATACGACAACGACCCCATCTGCGTTACTGCTGAATCATTGGCCGGTCGGTCGGAGTACGTGAACGTTGTTGTGTACAAGTATGTGGCCCACGTTCATCTCTCTTTCGCCCTAAGGCGCGATCGCATCTGCGCGAGGAATGTACCTGTAACAACAGCAACAAATGTTGTACGGTTAGGGTGGGTTTGCTCTTTAACGCAGTGGCGAAGCTTCCCTCCGCACAGAACCACTTGCAAAATGCGCACACGCGCGCGCAAGCACGCACACGCGCTCGCCCCCACGTTACAAGAATGGCTCTCAGATTGTTTGGGATAAGTGACAATCTAATGATATAATAGGCGAAGATTCGCATTCCATCGCCCACAGGTATGACTCTTTTATCAATATGTTCTGCCTAATTCCGGCAACTGGTATTAATTTAATATACGGCAGACAGTGGTAGTGCCTGCCACCTACGCCGTACAGCCCCTGCGAACGACCGTGCTACGTGTGTAGGATGCGTATATAGGATGCGTATATTGCGAAGAATGTCAGGAATGTTTGGGAATTTCGGTGTGTAGGTGTGCTAGTAGGATATTCCCCCCGTGCCTGTACATACCGCTCATCCACACACAAGCCCAAATGCGCAGCCATTGTACGTGTGCATCTAAATACCTGAACAGGGTAATTGCCAGTGCCTGTTGGCAAGTTATGGTGTAATTAACAGAGCTGTACCTGTCTGGCTGTACCTGCAGCAAACAAGGGCAGGTATATCCTTGGATTGTCATTGTGGTGGCGTGTAACATGCGTGTATCAGTCAGGTTTTGAGCTTTAGTCGAAGGGGAGAATTCGCGGGAATGGGCATCTTCGTTACCATCAAAGCTAAAGTAAAATTAGGTTGTACAGTTTTGGCTCACGAAAACAGTATTTAACGCGTTATGTCTGTCAAGGTTCGTAGCATTGATTTGTTGTAGTTTTATGAAACAGCAATGTATCAGTACTTGCATGGACTGAGTATTATTGACTGCGTATAGAACGTGTACGTCACTGTTTTGAAAATGAGTTATTACATACTATGCTAAACACGAGCAGCTATCCTATGCTAGGGATGAGGGTGGGGTAGGTGTGTACTGGGGTTTTCTGTTGCTACCTATCCACGCCATCGACATTTGGGTTTGTTGGTAACGAAATACGCGTTTTTATGGGTTATTTCCACAATGCACTCTGCTCGTATTTATTTGGGAAAGAAAATAAATTGCTGGCCTTTTAATATTTAGTTATAGTCTTATTATTATAAAGGCATCATTAGGCATGCATTATGGAAAATTAATTTTAACTGCTTACTCTTAGAATTAATGTTTTCGTATGTGCTTCCAATACACTGGCATGCACCAATAGTGCCAACATGTACTGTTCATAACACATTTACTGTTCCCAGAAATCACTGATGCATGCTAAATTTTATTACCTGTGTTATGTCGTTCCGAGCAGGCATTTTTACATTGACCATTGATACCCATGTGGTTCTGTGTGTATGCGTGGGTGTGATTGCCACTTATGTATGCTATGCACTATTTACCTATAGGCTATATACGAATTTCGGCGAAAAACAATTTCATTGACATTGTATGTTTATTAAAATGTACTATCTGCATTTAAAAAGGCCATCTCTTCAATGCTGTACTGTTTTGTGAATTCATCACTTATGAACGTTTTTTGTGTGTTCTGTGAGTGTGATCCACAAGTCAATTTAGGAGAGCCTTTTTACAAGACCTGCCTTAATCCCTATTCCCGTTCCTTTCATTCCCCAGTTGTCCACATTTCTCTACAATACACATCTTCTTTTGTGTCCAGTTTCGTGATGTGGCAAGCTCATGTTACGAATGAAGTAATCTTGCTCATGTATGGGTTGGTCTAGGATTGGCGTATGGTTGTTTTGATACAAGATGGTTCCTTGCGCGGGCAGTGTCATTGTCCCAAATAGGCAGACTTGCTCAAACATTCCCGCCTACAGGTTCAGCATTCCTGGTAGTCATTTAGCACAGATACGTTTGTCATTTGGACAGCTTACATTTGAAGAAGTTCTATTTGTTTTTACACTTGCCCGATGCTTCGATGGCATCTGAACCTGTTTTGATGATTTCGAGTCAATTTTTGTAGTGAAAATGCTGTCTGCTGCGCTGGGTATACTAGTACGCGGGAGGGAGGGACCCTGTTGTTTGATGTTTCACAGGTCTACATGGTTAGGTACGCGGTGTACGCAGTGTCGAGGCGTGGTGTACTCCGGGAACACTGTTGGACCGGCTGCTCGCATATATGTAATGTGTACTGGCATTGCAATTTAACAGGCGGCGAGTAAATTACACGTTACATTACAGACATTACAAATATACGTACGTTAATTAACCCGTCGTTGGAATTTTGTTGTTAAAGTTTTGAGGTTTTTGGACGGACAAGGTTGTACAATAGCTAGTGGATAGTGGGCATGCGTATTAGAAGTAGGATTTAGGGAAGCAGTTCAGCATATTACGTACATTACAGTATATATAGGTACTTGTTAAAATAAATATATTCATTATTTGTAGTTTAAATGTGTATTTTTCACATGTACCCAATGTGTATATGTAGTATGTTAGGGTGTGTCAGTATAAAAAATAGTGTATACCTATTTGTGGAATCAACTCAACTGCAAATTCTGGGAATTTCTAGATTTTGGTAGTCCTACGTGGGCAAAGTCATTGCTCGTTCACATCGGCATAGACAGATATGTGCTGCGTTGTGTTTTTGATTGCTGTCACCCTTTGTCTCACCACATAATTGGAAATTTGTTATCAAACCATATTTGGTCATGTGTTCTCTGGTGAGATTAGCTTGTAGCATGAGTAGGTGTAGGTATGAGTAGGTTGCAACCTACTATGGTTGCGTCTATGTGCTAAATATAATACTTTTATAATAAATATCATTCATACTAATATATGGTATATATCAAGAGCGTATTAAGAAGCCTTAAAACCTTCTTAATACGCTCTTGTATACCAGGGTTCTCCAAGGGCACTTATAGCCTGGCGCCCCACCATCCTAAAATGCAGCCGCCATGCTGGTGTATAAACGAGAAGTTCAAACAATTAATACACGTTGGTCTCGATGCTACGGGTACGGGAGTACAACACACAAGTACAAACAGTCACCCTCTCCCTATCCCATAAGACCCCCTATACATATATCCCCTATACCAAAATTTATCTATGGTGTATAACCTTTTGCTTTAAATATTTTGCATCTGAGCTGACATCGTGAATTAATTTCCAACGGCATTATTACGGGGCAGGTAACCCAGTCTAACACGAGGTAGAGTAGACTGGTACACTTACCGACCACTCCTGCCATTGTCAATGGTGACAAAAAAAATTATTTATTTATGAGAGGTGAACTCGATTTGGAACCAGCAAACCAGCAAGTTCACCCCTACATTTTGGTATTTTTATTCCATTTATTATTTTGAATTTTCCGATGGCTTTGCCCATGCAAAACAAACATTTTCACCCCACATGCAGTGCTTCAAATTTACACACAGAGTGTCCCAGATTGCATCTCAGAGCTTCTACAATTCAAAAATTTTCCCGGACACCCCTATCACTGAGTACCACCCCCATGCTATAATTTAAAAGCTTGGAGAACCCTGTATATATATATATATATATATATATAGTATATAT